AATTACATATTGTTTTTGTGATTAATCACTACGCTTTAATTATGTTCAATTTGTAACAATGAAAATATATCCTGCATATCAGATATTTACATTACGATTCATAACAGTAGCAAAATTACAGTTATGAAGTAGCAACGAAAATAATTTTATGGTTGGGCGTCAGCACAACATGAGGAGCTGTATTAAAGTGTCGCAGCATTAGGAAGGTTGAGAACCACTGGTCTAGAATGTCTGAAAAGCCAGTCTTTATTCTACTTAGGAAGGGAAATAGGCAAGTGGAAAGGGCATAAAGTCTCCAGGGCCCAGAAGAGGGAAGAGAGCCCAAAGCAAAGGTGGGAGTGATGTGGAGATATTAATATTCAGCACTGTCTGCCTCTGCTACTAGCCCTCCAAAGCCTTGGGGGTATAAGATGGGTCAAGGAAGGGCCTCCTCTCTACCTGTTTTAGTGCCTCACATATTAGCACCCAGTTCTTTGATGCGTTTTGAAGTGCTTAATAATCAGAAGGCTCTGATTTTCAGCAAAGGCCCAGGCTTTTTCAGAAAAGCCAGGTTCCAGGATGAACCTGACATTGATCTATCTAGCTCATCTGGCTCAGTTTGCCTTCGACTGGACTCTCACTGCAAAACAGGCTCAGAGAACACACCTGATGCAGCACATGCATGTGACTGGGGGGCTCAGCACATGCATGTGACTCTGGTGTCCTGACTTGGTGTCTAGACTCAGGGCCAGCTTCCATTCTGGGCTCCCAAGCTTGTCCTTCAAAGGGTTGAAAATAGCATCACCATTTCATTCTCTTAGGAGCTTTCTCACCCTTGACAAGCCTGTGGGACAGAAGGACCTGCCCTCTAGGGCCCCTTGTCTATCAGCCCTGATTGAATATTTACTCTACAGAGCATCATGCCATGCATTGTGAAAAATAATAGAAGAAGGTGACGATGCACTCCTGGCCTTTGAGCATCTTATCAACTTACAGGCTAGACAGAACCAGCACAAAACAAAACACATGAACACTCAAATGTCAGCCAGACATATGTCATTCATTATTTATAAATCCAATTAACTTGGCTTGGGAATGAATATATATATATATATATATATATATATATATATATATATAAAATTGAAGAATTTTTCTGAAAAGACTAAAGTGACTGGAGCTGGAAAAAGGTGGTTTTCACCCCTAGCTGGTTTAGCTCAGTGGATAGAGCGTCAGCCTGCGGACTGCAGGGTCCTGGGTTCAATTCTGGTCAAGGGCACATGCCTGGGTTGTGGGCTTGATCTCAACCCAGTGGGGGGCATGCAGGAGGCAGCCAATCAATGATTCTCTCTCATCATTGATGTTTATACCTCTCTCTCCCTCTCCCTTCCTCTCTGAAATCAATAAAAATATATATTTTTAAAAGGGGTTTTCTAGTGCCCAAGCTTGTGTTTACAAGGAATGACCCTGAGACAAAGATTTGAAAGCAAGTAGTATATTTGAGAAGTATTGGAAACACTAGTAAGAGGAGTGGGAAAGGAAGATCGGGGAAGGAAGGAAGGCAGCCAGCAAAGGGAAATTCTGGGAACAGCTAAGCACATGCATCTCACAGTTATCTCCCAGACTCTGTCCACCAGTGGTTGAGGACTCCTTTCAGAACAAGTTAACACCGAGATGCTCTTGGACTTCCCTGCCCAATCAAATAGTTTCGGGCAAACTCTTCATGCAATTCTTGCAAAGAGATGAAATTAATGGCAGTTGGAGGTGGGACTTGGAAAGGCCTTGAGGGTAAGCGCACGACCCTGACAGCCTCTGCTCCACTTAGAGGTATCGATTACAGCAATGGCTTGGAAAATAGAGAGACTGAGGTTTCCAGTAATGAAGAAACCACTACCTATGAAGACCAAAATTAACAGTGGATGGCACTGAAGCCAGAAACTATTGACTTTCTTATGCAAGTTTCTCGAGAGCGTGTGGCTCAAATGACATAGGGAAGAAGGCCTAGGCTACCAGTTGAAGCTGACTGAAGATGAGAGGATCCAGGTGGTGAGGGCTGCTCCAAGTCAGGATGCCCCCTGATTCACTAGACATGTCCTTCCTTCACTCAACTTGGTTGAAGAGGCCGCTGGTAACCAACAAGCAGTGAAGATTGCATCCCAGGCCCCCTACTGTATTTACAAAGAATAAGAGTGACGGCATTGGGAGAGTGGTGGTGGGGTGGTCGTGGTCACACCTCTAAAGTAGATCTGATAATATACTCTCCTTTTGTATTGTATTATATTGTGTCGTATGTGCCTTCTATAGAGATCTGGGGGGAGTTAAGACAGTCAAAGGCTGTAGCACAGCAGAGGGCTCGGGTTCATCTGGCACAGGTAGTGGTTGACATATTGCTTCATAAGGCCTACACCCTAGGCTTTAGCAAATGCCTCCTGCAAGGACTCCCATGTGTTGATCTTTGTTAATGGAAACATCCATGTGTTTGACCTGATTTTAGGTGCCCTGGTAGATGTGCCCAAGGATGAGCTCCCGGAAGTTGTACCTCAGGGGCTAATCACTCCCTCCCATATCATATTATATGCTTGGATGTGCTCTATCTCTATCCTGTATTTATATGCTGGGCAGAGAAGGCCTGTAATAGAAATGTCAGGGTGTGTTGATAATTTATTGATCGCTTTTATCTGGGGGGAAATGTAGGACATGCGGATGCATTCTTATGTACCCAGTAACATACTTGGTCCATAGAGAGTAAGCAGAAAGAGTGAGTTTAAGCAGGATCCTGTCAGAAGACAGAGCTACACCAGTTGCTTTAACAGAAGGAATTAGTATGGAGGCTTGGGTGGGGGAGGAAGTAGTTTTCCTCAACCCTCTTAGGCTGGGTCTGAAAATCAAACTGACAAAAACAGATTAACAGGAGAAAAACATACAGAGTTAGTTAATGTAAGTTTTATGTGTCATGGAGACCTCGTACTAAGGAAATGAAGGTCTGAAGAAACAGACCTGTGTATTTTTATGTGAAGTATGATAAAGAGTGGGCAGTCCTGAAGGATTATGAGAGGTTAAGGAGCCCAAGGTAAGTGTAGTTACCTGGGTAAATTAGCAAGGCCTATTAGGCTTCTTCTTGGCATCCCATTGTCTTTGGAGATAAGGATGCTCCTTTTCTCAGGGTGTAGGGAGGGCATCTCTCCCAAGAGAATCTTATGACCTGTTTCCAGGAAGAAGGGTGACAGGGGAGGAGGTCAGAGTGAGCTTCCTGCCTCAGCTATTTTCTCAAACTCCCCAGCTGAAAATATTCGAAGTGCCAATGTGTTGTATTGGGGGTAGCGTGTCCTGATTCCCATCACTTCTTAACCACATTATTGGACAATCCAAGAGGTGCAGAAGTTGTAAATTGCAGGAAGCAGCTACAGCTTTAAGGCTGGGGGAACAAAGGGAAAAAATCAGGAGAATGAAAATGTAAATACTTGCAGAGGGGGACCTCAGACCTCTGAGGAGGGTATACTGGGTGGCTGGCTGTGCTGGTGTCTCTGAAGGGGTCGTCAAGAAACTGATGCCAGGAATATCAAGAAATTGCAAAATGGAATCAATTGTTCTTACTAGAACCAGTTACTACTCCCCGGGTGAAGGGTTATCACTGGGCCATGCTGACAGATTAGGAAGCAAATAAGGAGTGAGTCACCTCTCCTCCTGCTTCTGATCTCAAGTTGAAACTCCCTGCCCACCCCCAACCCCAACAGCAGACTTCAAAGTGAGCCTACTGGCCCAGGAGGAATATAATGTGTACAGTCCTAGCCCTAGTACCACTAAGTACGGCAAGTTTGGAGGAAAGAGACAAGTTAAAAACCCACTCAAAGCCCTGGTGGTGTGCTCAGTTGTTAGAGCAGAATGAAGATGCCATGAGTTTGCAGTGATGGGCCAAGGAGGGGGATCTGCCTGGGTGGCAAGGAGCGTTTTGTCACCAACATTGCTTACACTTACCGGTGCATGATCGTAGTCAAAGGCATACTTACTCTTAGTTTTATGATTGCTCTTAAATTCTTGACAGACAATGTGTCCTCTTCATTATGTGTGCCCAGGACAGACCACTCCCACCAGCCCCCACCCTTTGTTACACCACTAGTAACTGGCTTTGTTAGGATCAGTTCTCTTGAATGCCTTTCTCTCTCTGTCTTTCTTGGTAACACTCCTAGTTCTCTGATTCTCAGTCTGTGTTCTTCACTGGTGCGCTACCCACCCTGTGTTCTGGGGAGTCCGGATCTATAAAGGACGAAGGGTAGCCCTGGGTTTTCCATGAGTTTTGGGAAAGGAGGGTCTCAGGTGGAGCCAGGTGTCTGTCGTGTTCCATTTCTGGAGCTCTTGTGCCCCAGGCAGCCTGCCTGGGACACACACTTTCTTCAGGATCCAAATGATGCTTTAGAGTCAACAAGTGATGCTAGATTGACCCCCAAGGGCATGGATCCTGGGCCTGGAGGAATCTTCTTAGAGATTTGTCACTTGGTGAGAAGTTGAGAGTTTGAAGTTGAAGATTGGAATCACTGAAGAGATGACCAGGTGGTTGTTGATATCCCTCCTACCCCAGCCCCTTGCCCATCCCTTGGCCACCACCCCAGGGCAAAAGAAGAAGGAGGACCTCCTGCTAATTTTCAACTGCATTTTGCTCTCTGTTATGTAGTATTTCAGTGACAAGATCCACTGAGGAGAGTTGGGGCAAGGCTGGCTGAGGTTCTCAAGGAGCTGTTTTGAGTTCAGGTGCCCTCATGGCAATGGAATGATGCCTCCTGACCATTCAGACCTTTGAGACCTCTGGGCGGTCTTAGAAATCACCTCAAGCCTCCCAACGAGGATCCGACCACCTGGGGGACTTCCAGGGAAAGGTAGCAGGTAGAGTATCCTTTCTGGATTTTATTCTCTCTCGTCCTCCCACCCCTCCTATCTACATCTCTCTTGCTCTATCGTGTCTCTTTCTCCTCAAGATTCCATAGACCAGTGATGCAGGGGTATTTATTTTATGTTCTTGTCAACAGACATATCATGGACTGAAAGGTGATGGGTACCCCAAAGAGCTCACTACAAGACCGCAAAGATTCCAAGACACCGGCTGCTGCAACATATAAAGACACCAGTCTGGAGAGGCAGCAGGAAGCAAGAAGCAAGCCTGGAGGAGGTGAGGAAACATCACTCTTTCCTCTGCCCTTGACTCCATCGACCTTTAGCTGTCAGATGGTTTGGGCCCAGGACTGATGGGCTTTCTCCTGTGTGTCCTTTCACAGGCTCTGTTGTTGTTATTGTTGTTGTTTTTGGCCAGAGGACAGACCACCTTCTCAGGTGTCCTGGGGAACTGCTGAAGGACAGTGAGGAAGATGCTGCTGGTCCCCAGGACAGAAACACAGCAGCTGGAAGCAAGAGGCACCTAGAGTGGGACTCAAGCCCTTCAGACGGAGCTGTCTGAGCTGTGGTGCCCAATTGGACTGTTTTTGCTTTGCCATCATTTGCATAACACACAGTTCTGGATGTTTTCCATTGGTTGGCTTTCTTTCTTCTTTTTTCCCCCCCACCTGTCCTTTCTTTTTCTCCTCTTGGCCCTGGGAATTGTAAGAAAAGAATTGCTTTAGAAAGTATAATTCTGTTGGTGACATTAGCCTTGTTTTATGAACAAATTCTGTCACTGGGGATTTTCTGCATTGCAGTCCCAGGTTACCTAGTAAATGGGGCTGCGTGGTTTGATTTGTGTAGTACTGATCCTTAGATTAAAAATACATTTTCTTTCTGGCTTGCTTTTTTTTTTTTTTTTTTTTTTTAGTTTGGATTCAGGTAATGTCCTGAATCACATTTGCTTAGCTACTGAAGCGATCTCATTGTGGTATCGCTTGGATTTGAAATATAATCAAACATATATTATACCAGGGGCGCCTGCACACTGTTTGATATATATGTTACACTGCAAAGAAACACAAACCTAATAGGTTGAAATTTAATTCCTGTCTGATCCTGCAGCTGGAACGGGGGAGAAATTATACACATCAAAAATGGCTTCAAATACCCTGAATGTAAGCTAACCAACAGTAAGTGGCTGGTTTCCAAATGCCCTTTTCTAAGGCAAAGCAGAAACTGGAGATCCGCGGACCTCGCCACCAGGGTTGCTCGGGTCTGTCCGGGGGCCTGCCCATTGCGGAGGGATTAGGAACAAGGCATGCCTCTCTGTCTTTTACGGAAACTGTGGCATTTCTGACCTACGTTCTGTAACTGTGCCTGCCTTGCAATAAAACACCTTAAGTTGACTCAGCAACAAGGTCTCTGTCCATTTCCTGCAATACGGTGTCCTTCCTCAGTGGCTTTGTAAGAAAGTCCAGGGCAGACCGACGAGTGGTTGACTTGCCAAAGATCTCAGCTGGGTGCCACCAGAGGTGTCGCTGGAGCGCTCAGGTGTCTGCACGTGGGACAGTGTGTGTGGTCAACTTACCTACTCTGCATATCGTAGTCAACGCCAGGAATCTCTAATCACACATAACCATGTTAGACCGAGTTGCTACCCTCTGTCACCATTCTCTAATTCTGCAGTCCCCACCCATTTCTCGGAGACTCTAGAACAAGCCACAAGCTCTCTGCACCTCAATGTCCACCTATATAAGATGGGGCCAATGACACTTGCTATAGTTATGGTGATAGGAGCCTGCACAAGGACATCACATGGATGGTACATTATATAAACACACTGGATGTGGCAGCACTCAATAAATGCTGTTTATTGTATTAATAAATGATGAAAAGGACACTTGAATTCCATAAAGTTGGGCTTTGGTTGAAAACACTTGAGTAATCTCTGAATAGCTTCTTAGGCCTGCTTGTATAAAGCCATTCAAAACAAGGTGAAGATTCATGGGACATAAGACAAGAGAAGAGAATCTGCCATTCCATACCTTGTGTATGTAGCTCAATACCGTCCTTCCCCCTTCTGTGGCATTGGGCAGGTGTTTTATCTCCTTCGCAGAGATGACACCATTGCTTTAGAGCGGGGAAATGTACCACGCCCATGGATGTGGGAGATGTCATCTTCACCCCCCTGTTTGCAGCATTGGGTCTATGCTGTTAAAGGGCAGGTGAGTCTCAGTTCTGACAAAGAGGTCTCATTCACTGTGGGGAAGACTTAGACCCATCTCAGGCCTCAGACTGCATTTGCCATTTTACTAGCAAGCACTTTTGAGAAGACCCCAGCACGCTCCACCACCTCACCTGAGATTTCAGGATAAACACAATGTGAAACAAAGACAAGAGCTAGGACATTCTGGGTGGCTTCTGAAGGAGTTGTTCTCTGGTTGCCATGGATGGATTATAGTCCCACAGATATGAATCCTGGACTTCAGGCCATGCAGAGTAGAAATATTTTCTACTTTCTACCTTGAAGTCATTAAAATGGTAATAATAACACAATAGCAATGGACAGTTTTTAAGTATTTAGCATATGCTGACCACTGGGCAAAGTATTTTATGAGCACTGGCTCATTTAACTGTTGCAATAACCGGTTGAGATAGGTACTCTTAACTCTCATTTTCTGGGTGAGAAACCAAGGCGTGAAATCACTAGATGACTGGGCCAGGCCACTCCAGTTGGCGAGTCATAGCTGGGATGCACTGGGCTTTCCTGACTCCATTGCACTCAGCTGCTTCCTCACAGTCCTTGTCTGCTTTCCCAGCTCCTGACCTTGAACCTCACCTTTGGAAATTACTTACATCTTGGGACTATTAATTATCATCCTCTCCTGCCGGATTCTCGCAATTATTGTCTAAGCGCTTGGCAAATGTACTCCAACGAGCTGCAAATCAATATGGAAAGTAAAGGTTTTAATTTAAACAATGAGCATTTTTTAAAATGTAAAATAAAAAATATATTCTTCCAAAATGGGTCCAGGTTCAGCCTTCCTTATGCTGAATTCTACTTCTGTTTCACATTCTGAGGTCCCAGTGCATCATACCCAGGGGGAGTCCTCACAGGATGTGAATGTTGAGCCCAGGAGCTATCTCAAGAGTAAACGAGAGAGCACTGACTAAAGGCAAAATAGCCTTAAATTCTTGAGCAAAATGATGCTGACTCTAACTTTAGCTCCTAAAACCTGTTTTCAAAAGCATCACTCATGTCGGAGGAAAAGAACCTCTTCCCACTTCCCACCAACAGCTTATCCAGAAGGGGGTATGATTGTGTATTTGTCTGAAGGACCCTAGGAGTTTAAAGCAGCTACATGTTTGTAGACAGAATGTACCAGACACAGTTGGTGCCTTGTCCGTATTTCTGAGGGCTTTCTCTGCTGGGGGCGCCTGTGTGCATCCCAGGTCAGACGTGCTGGGGCTTTTATTCCCCTCCCCATGGAGACTAACCCTCACCCAAGACTGGAGAAAGTTGGTGTATGAGTGCCCCCACCTCCTCACCCTTTGGGGGGACCCAGTGAAGCGTGCCCTACAGTGGTTCTGAGTTCCCCAGGGAGGTGACATGCCAGTGGCCCATGGTGGGAACTAGTTTGTTAACCCATTTAAAAATACATATATTTTTCTTGATTTTAGAGATGAAAGGAGCCAGAGAGAGAGAGAGAGAGAGAGAGAGAGAGAGAGAGAGAGAGAGAGAGAAAGGGAGAAACATCAACGAGAGAGAATCATTGATTGGCTGCCTCTAAGGTTCGAGCCTGCTCCAGGCATGTGCCCTGACTGGGAATTGTACCGTGACCTCCTGGTTACAGGTCTACACTCAACCACTGAGCCATGCCAGTCAGGTTTAACCCATGTTTGTATGCTGTCTTTCCTTCCTTGTCTCACACCCATATCTCACCAGTAAGTAGTTAATTTGCATACAAATGCCTGTGTGAGGGTCTGCTTTTGGGAGGAGCCTGAGTGCATGAACAAGTCTGGTGCTGGTCAGTTATCTATAATAATAAAAGTGTAACATGCTAATTAGACCAGACATCCTTCCGGACAACCTTCCGGATGAAGCCGAGGCGGTGGGGGCCAAGGCAGAGGCAGCCACTGTGGCAGGGGCTGAGGCAGCTGCTGCCACGACAGTGGCCAAGCCCCTTGAACAAATTTCGTCCATCAGGCCTCTAGTAGAAATAATAATGTCCCAGAGAAAATACAGCAGCATCATTCGGGGCTAAGCCCTTTCCCACCTCATTCTTCTGCTGGAATCTCTGCTATGTTAGCAACTGGAAATGAGACCTTCTAAACCTGAGGCCCACATGCCAGAGAACAACTTCCTACCTGTGAAACAGGCATCTCCACACGTTCTGAGATATTTTGCCTTTAAATGAAAGACTCCACAAACATATGAGACCCGGGCCAGAATCACCTGATGGCAAATCAAATTACAATTCTACAGTGTAATTCTACAGTGGGTAGAACAAGTAATTAAATAGAAGGGGGTAATGGGAAAAGGAGAGAGTCACAATCCTCAAGCCCACTTTCACCTCTCAAGGACTCCTATTTGCCTTTGAATAACTTCTGCTTCAATTAACATTGATTGAGCCTGCCTAGAGTGCCTGGCTCTTGTCAAATTCCATTACCAGAGGCTCTAAGACACTCCCCGCGAGCCTTTGTTGTATGGGGACATTTCGGTAGGAGTATTGGATATTGTGTGGAGTAGCTAAGACATCGATCAGGACTGTTATACTGGAGGCTTGCTTTTTCTGGCAGGGCAGTTTTGTATACAAGATTTCATCTTTGAAATTCTCTAAGTTCAAGTTATGATGCTCTAAAAACGCATGTCAGACGGACCCACTACTGCTTTTAAAAATAAATGTTGAACGTGTCAACCCTGTAAAGTGAGAAAATGTGCCCTAATCTTTGTTTAGAGACATTAAACACCTAATTTATTTTTATTGTAGCTGGGAGGAGGACACACAAAGAAACACATTTCTTTTATGGGCTTCTCTGTAAGGACTTTGATGTTTATGTTATCAGAGATGGGAAAATGAAATTATAGTGTGTGTCAGAGTCTGTCTTATCTCCTTTCTCAGTCTTTGCTGAGGTCTTGGAGGGTGGGGCTATCCATATTTTATGAAAAATGAGGGTAAGATTCCTATTAGGAAAAAAAGCAGAGAATAACATTGTTCTTAGGATCTTAAATGACCAAGGACATTTTATACAGGGAAAAACACTTGCTACTATTGATACCTTTTCATGCCCACATTTTAAATCACATTAATTATTATTTTGTTCACTAAACATTAAAATGCTACCTCTGCCACTAATAAAACATACTTTATGAATCAAATCATCTTAAGTATTTAAATCTGATTACAAATTCAAGTAGACAAATTCTCTTAAGTATTTCAATAAAATCTATGCCAATTTCATTTAAAAGCTTCACAAACTTTGAAAGCAGGTTGTATGCACATGCCTGCGTGCGCACACACTCACACAAGTAATCACAATGTAATTCAAAATGTATTATACCTACATTTAACTGATTCAGAAGTATTTATGCTATGGGTTTGATTTATATCTTTATTATTTATAAATTTGTTTTATCACTTCCTTTTATTTTTTTATAACCCTCAGTGTTTATACTTTCCTAGAGTTACAGTCATCTTGCTAGACTCAAAAGGAAAAGAATGGCATCTCAGAGCAGCTGAGTTTACAGATCTGGGGTTATCCGCCACTTGATTTTTGCTTGGCATTCTGGATCTTATGGATCTTTCCAAAGGGGGATGCAGCCCTGGACTGATGTTTACTGGCCTGAATTTTTCTTAAGAGTCAAGGTTCAGTTGCTATGTCAATGAATTGTTGGGAGCCCTTGCCTAATACTAGCAACATGGAGCACTCCTGAGAGCTCCCATGCCCATCAAATCCTAGTCCCAGGCAGTGAGCCTGGGCTTCGTGATGCTTTGGTTTCTCCTTATTTTTTTTTAATAAAACACAAGTTTCTTCATCTTCAGGATGAAAGGAGGAGTCTGATGAGCTGCTTCATGCATCAGCTTCCAACACACAACTGGACTGTCCACTGGCTATTACAGAGGGTCATAGGAGAGGGTCATTTCTTTGGTCCATCAAGAAAAATCTCCAAGTTCTCTTGTTATTTGACTTAAAATCCACTGTAGCTTTTTTTTCTATTTACTGAGAATCAATATGTATACATATGTTTAAATGTATACCAAATAAAAGTACCAGGCATCTATATATGTATATAGAACATCCATATCTATAATTTCTAACCTACTTGTTAAAAATATTTACAAAACTATGCCCTCTTTGTTTTTTAATTAACTTAATGTATACCTTATACTTTTTCATTGTT